GTCTCAGGTTGACCTATCGACTTTTTGTGCAGAGGCTTCAACGATGTCTCGGCATGTAATTAAAAGTTAATAGGTGAATGGTGACTAGCGGTGGAATCCACCAGGATGCGCCACATTTCGTCTTATTTGGGACTCGTCATCTGGATATATGTTTGAAACTATGGGCACTGGGTTCGAGCCTTGGTGGTCGGAACATCATCACTCATTGACTGCGGAATGCAGGTACATCCAGCTGGCAAACGAGTCCCAAACAGGACAAAATGCGCGTTATCCTGGTGGATTCTACTGCTAGTCACCATTCATCAGTTAACTTCTAAAGTTTGAAAGCATTTATGTGATAGAGAGACCTGAACAATTCAAATATCTATAATTTTTAAACCATTCCAGCTGACGTCGTCACTTAAAGCTTCCAATAACACACTTATAATGTACTACAAAATAATTTACAAGTTACTTTAAATTTGAACAAAAAGCATCTCCTATCCCCTATTATTAATTTCCCAGGCAAAATATCCACTAGTGACATCATCTACACGTAAAATGTTAGGTGAATATTTTATCCAGCTACACGCTCACCTTTAAATTTCCCACAAACACTGCAGTCTTTTTGTTCAAACAAATAATTATTCAATAGCAAAGTATCAATATTAAATGAAAGAAGTATTATTATTTCAGATTTCTAGGTATATAATTGTAGTTGACAAGTCTTAAGTTACGTAATCATGTGTTTTGTAAGTGTATTATGCAAAATTATGACCATTTGACGCATATGATCTATGTAAATTACTAACTTAGTTATACAAATGATGCACACTGATGTTGAAATCACATGTCCTTTATCCAATATTTTATATATACATACACGAAGAAAGAAAAAGAATCGGCACTAGTAATAATAAAAAGAAGACGAAGTGTTGACGTCTAGTCATTTAACGTCGCATGTGTGGAATAAATTTTAAAAAAAACTAAATATTATATTAAGTTACAACACAGTTAACTGGTCATTTAATGTACAACAGAATATTATATAGATATATATAATATTATCAAGTACAGAAGAAATTTAGTGAAGGCCCTCAGTCACAGAGTTACAGCTATATGCTCAGAAGAAGTAATCGAAGATGAATTAAGCATTGTATATGATACTTTGATAGAAAATGGCTATCCCGAAAAATTTATCAAGAAACAAATGACAAAGAAAACGGAAAAGGACTACTCACTATCTGTAAAAAAAGAAGCCTCTTTATATACGACTACAATTCATGGGCGATATACCAAGCGAGATAATTGCGAAGAAATTTAGAAAATCAGTTCAAAGAAGTTTTAATGCCGGCGAACTACACGTATTATTCTCTATACGACCGAAGGTGTTACCTCGACTAAAAGATGAAGTACCTCGACTAGACTAGCCACTTCAAACTGTATCTATCAATTCATTTGCGCTTGTGATGGAGCGAGTTATATTGACCGTCGCTCTAGGAACTTGATTTTTCGTGCTCAATCGAGAACATCTCCCACTATGGCTAAGTAAAGATGTAGTGAAAACCATTAACAGCTCGATAATGGGACATCTGGTGCGAACCGGCCGGCTACAAGGCCAGCCAGCGTGGAAGAATCCTTCTCTATCATCATCTACCGGGTGCCTAATAAATTGCCAAAATCATCATTGAAGCACTGCATGCTCCAAACACCAGAGGCTATTGCAATTCATACGATCAATCAGAGATACTGCTAATTATGTTCCTGGAAATGTATTGCATAATTTTGAAGTGCAGTCTAGACAGGGGATGATTTGACTAAGTGGGAACTAGACAAAATAAGCTGAAATGATGCATTAATTGTGAAAATGACTTATCTATGCAAATGGACAAAAGCTAATGGAAAGAGATTAGTATTGATATAAAATCTGCATGATAATTACAGTGTTATTAATAAATAATAATGATAATGATTGTTACTATGGTTACGATAAGGTTAGCGAATGTATGTCGTGCTTTTGAACACAGAGGTCCGATTTCAGGTCGCGAATAATCCGTGAGTCAGCTATATTTAAATGATGCATTCGAAGTCCTTTCTTGAGATATATTGAAGAACTGTGTGTAGCACTGTGAAGCCATCATTTGAGGGTGCCAAATGTCCAGAATTGACAAGGTGTTTGAAGAAAGAACTAGCGGTGTTCTTCTTTTCTCCTTTGGCTAACCAAGTAGGAGGGTGTTTCGGAAAACGTTGGCGTATCTCACGTGGTATACGGCCAATATACTTTATTCAACAGGAATAGTTTAACTGATAGATACACACTTAGGTAGCCAAAAGTAGTAGCTTATCCTTAATGAAAGATTGGATTAACTGCTTTTTGAGGAATCTGATTTGTATTACGACTGACATTTAGAAGGACAGTTTCTAAAAATATCTGCTCACAATGCCATCTTTGAATTCTAGATTCCTGAAAAGTGTTTTCTTAGAAATATGTGCACCCTTCAGAGACTGACACTTTTCTCTCATATTTCTGTTGATAAGTCAAGATAGATATCCATATTTTTTGATGTGGTTGTGTTCTCTGAGCTGGATAGTCAATTTGCAAAGCTTTCATCGCCCTACTAGGCGACATCTTTATGGTTTCCTTGGGGGCTTTCGGTTTGATAGGTTGGCTTGAGGGCATGGGATTTTATTCTCGGATTCCTCTTCTGTTGAGAATTTGATGTCATTAAAGACGTTGTTGTCTTAGTCAAGCGAACAACCACAGGGGAATTAGAAAATCAACTCACACCCACAAAATACTGAATTACAACAGCAACAATCCAATAACACACAAAAGGAATTGCATACAAACACTATTCAAGAGGGCAAGTCTGGACTCATTGCAGCATTCCCACCTAAAGGAGAATTGAAGAAAGATATATCATGGAAGTCTTCCAAAAGAATGGATATCCACGGAATTTCATCAAAAGACATACACCCCCAAACCAACCTATCAAATCAAAGGCCCTCAAGGAAAGCATTAAAGAAAATTGCCTTACCATATATAAAGGATATCTCAGAAATCACTGCAAGACTCTTCAAACCTCTAGGAATTGACGTCGTACACAAACGAACAAAGTCTCTTCACTCAGCTCTATGTCAACCAAAAGACTCAACAACAAAAGAAGATAAAACCAACATCATTTACAAAATAAATTATAACAACTGCGAAAAACACTACATTGGCCAAAGTGGACGTCCCCTTCATCTTCTTATCCACCAACATAAGCTAGCCGTCAAAAGACATGACATTCACTCCTTCATATCCCCTCATTGTATACAGACGACTACGGACATCAATTCGACTGGGACAGCGTTCAAATATTAGACAGAGGAAACAACAAGAATGCTAGAGAGTTTTTAGAAGCTTGGCATTCCAGGGAATCATCAGTCAATAGGCACATCGAGAAAGACAGAATCTACCAACTGATAAGAGGGAAATCTCACACACAAAGGGTGAAAGTTAAAGTCAAGGTAACAATCAATACGAATACACGTAGCCTAGAGAGTGTGGAAACAAACGCACAAAAACAACCTAATCACGTCCAAGGTCACCAGGAGAGATGATTAATAAACTCGTGGAGAAATCTAAAAGCTCACTTCGACAGACTGAAGTATGCGTTGAAGATGTCGCCTACTAGGGTGATGAAAGCTTCGCAAATTAACTATCCAGTTCAGAGAATACAACCACATCAAAATCATCCACCTGAGCTACAGTTCTTCTCCATAATATCGAGATTTTCATCTTCCATAAGGAGTGTCAGACACACACAGATTTTAATTCGGTATGTATTTTATTTTTTGTTTTTGACAAAAGTTTCTAATCCTTAAGCATTAGGCAAGTACACATACTAAGTTTTGCTTTCAAACCAATAGGACAAAACTCAGAAAGCTATTAAAAACAAAAGAACGTTTCTATGTAAATCCGAAGTTAATTGGTGGATGGTAACTAACAGAGGAATCCAAGATAACGCACATTTCGTCCTATTTGGGACTCTCTACTTGATGTATCTACAACGAAATACGCGTTATCCTGGATTCCACTGCTAGTCACCATCCAACAATTAAATTCTAATTGCATGCCTAGACATCGTCGAAGCGGCAAAGTTCAACAATAGCGTCTCAGGAGTACGAACGCACAAGTGACCTTCAGCCGACCAATCATAAAAATGAGGAATTTTCGAAAAAAAAATGCTCGAAAACACATTAAACGGGTTATCTTTCTCTAACATGACTTAAAAATACGTCCCAGTTATAATGAAGTGTATCAGTTGCTAAGTTAGACTGGTTTCTCTGCAGGTATTCACCGAGGTAACTAAAGATGACCTACTTTTCCTGAATTGTTTGTCTGTGATATCCAGTTGCGTAGTCTTCCCCAAAAGCCCTCGGTTGAACAACTATGGTTTCCAGTAAGAGGATTGACGACTACTTACCAGGAAAATGTGGATAAGAAAACAAATTAAAATAAATATTATCAACTCTAAATCTATTTACAATGGTAACCCTAACCTTAATCCTGATCCTGGCCCTAACGAGCTATTAACAAATTGTCAAAACAGTACTTAAAAACGTGATCTGGTTGAAATTTACTGCTTAGTTGGTGAATAGCGTTGATATTTCAGCTATCATAATAACGGGTGCCGTTAGCCAACGACTAGCATGCGTTCAAGGCGTTCAAGGTCACTAGAGCATTCGCACTCCTGGGACGCTATTGTTGAATTTCACCGTTGAAGCATCTGCACAAGAAGCCGACATGTCAATCTGACACTGAGCACTTCGGTCTAATCAGTCTGCGGGAAAATTTAAAAATGAATTCAATAATTTCTATCCAAACTTTGAAAAACTGTATTTTTTTAAATTATTGATTTCAACTAACATTCCCAAAGTGTGTTTATATCGTTCGCCTTACCTAAAATATATATTAACCAGACATTGTCTGTGACATTAAGAAAATTAACATTTTAGTCATAATGTATTTAACAGACATATTAGTCAGATTTTACCGGGAAAAGTTAATGCATAACTAAGCCAAGTCTGACCTTTGCCGGTATTTATACATAAAAAATGGTTCATTTAAACAATGAAAACAACCAATCATAATTGAATCACATTATCGTTTCAACCAATCAGAAGTTAGACATCAATTTAGATCATTGATATAAATATGCAGAGAAAAAACACGTGCGTTTAACTTTTGTTATAATTACAATAATGTTAAATCAGGATAAAAGCAACAACAATATAAATAATACAAGTTAGCTTATAAACAGATTGGTCTTAGATATATCTCTGCACAAAACTACACACACAAAACTGGTTCAATAAGCCAGAAAAAAGAGGGTTTCGCATCACCTCCAGAAAGTATTGAAGAAGCCAGTTGTGCATGAAATGTGTTGAAATAAATACCTCTTGGATATAATATCCAAAAAGATATATATATATTTATCATGCTCAGGTTGACTAAAAGTCAAATTAGAAGGCATTTTTCAATTACATCTGTATATATTTGGATAACATGGATCACCTTCATTGATAAATGGTCTTTTATTTACTGTCTACCATATCGTATACCTGAAAAATCTCTACAAATAAATGAGGCAATAGTAAGTTACTTGGTTTTCAGTCATGTGTAATTCTTTCTCTTTTGATAACTTTTTTTTCTTGATATTTTTACTCCAAAAGTTTGCATTAATTCGTTTTAGGTGAGTAGATCTCAGCTTACTTGGATTTTGTGGTTTTAGCACGAACATTGCCAGCCATTATCATCATCGGCAGCGAGTATTTGTCCTAACATTCCACCTGGTGGACCTCAGTGGTCACGACTTTCTCGCCGACCATGCACATGGTCCGAGGTTCGATCCCCTGTCGACGCACACCTGATATCAGCTGGTCGGCCTACAAAATTCGGACTACCGATATTCATGCTGAAAATTCCATACTTGTACCAAAAATACAGTGTGGAATCAAGCTGTGATAGAAAATAGAAGAACTGCAGGGGACTTCGTTCAGCACAGAGCCAGTCACTAGCAAGCATTGGTTATTTCGTAGGGATTTGTTTTGCTTGAAGTTTTCATCACGGACTGATATCAGTTAGAAAACCATTAAAAATCACCGGGGAGTGGGAGTAATGGACAGCTGTTTCGTCCCAGTTAGAGACTCGCCGTCAGGGCGCACCCATCGGGGTTAAAACCCAGACAATTAAAAGAAATACAAACTCACTCTTGAAAATTAATCTGATGCTCGCTAGTCACTGGCTACACGACGAAGCTGACTGGAGTTCTAGTGAGAAGTAGTGACCAGTAGGGTCCACTTGGTCGAGAATGAAAACAAACCCTCGTCGCCAAAGACCTTTGCTGGTGCCAGTCGCGCTTAAGTTTCAAAATGCTAGAAATTAGGGTTCATAAGCCATTGAGTTAGGTCCCAATGGTTGAATTATCTAAGAGTTTTCCTTGTAACCTGTAAATCCTGGGGTCGAATCCTAGTGGTGGGTAAGTACTGACCATGTGTCCCAAACTAGGACGTAACACTACAGGCTAGTTTTGAAATGGTTCTGTAACTGATACCAATCCCTACAAAGTAACTCTTAAAAGTAGCACATTGTTACAATAAGGTCGCCGTCCTAACCTCACAAATACCACATTCTCACATAACACCTTAAGTGATTGTGTGTTAGTGGGATTGTAAACACTATCCAACTTGTAATCAGTATCCCTAATTTACAAAGACCACACCCAATTTTACGATTACATTTGTGATTATTTTCTTAATAAAGCATTAGTAAAATAAACTGTGATCTATGGTAAAACTATAAAAGAGGTAATTTAACTGGTTCTTTTCTTTTCCTTATAATGAGTCATATTGTTTTAATGTACTATTATTATTTATTTATTTACATGTATTTCTATGGTAACGTTTTGACGTTCTTTATGACTGTATGTTTCAAAATCAACTTAATTTCCCTTGTTGTATGTAAAAATTATTCACCCCTAGGAAATATGTAAATGTATTCTTAGCGTAGTATGTGTATATACTCCGAAAGTTTAAAGAATAGTTTATTTTTTTAAGCCAAATGACATTTTCTTTCTAACATTTACGGTATAATTAATCAATATCAGTCAATAACTGTAGTCAATTATTAATTAGTTCAGAGATATATACATATTCTTAAAAGATTTAAGAATGTATACGGAACTACTTCATCAGAAGTTTGAATTCGGCGGTTATGCGTGTTCAATATTCAATATTACTATTTTTACTAAATATTTTATTATTATTTTTGTTTTTGACTTCACATCTTAATGTAGTGTATTTACCATCAACCTTAGGTATTTACAAGTGATTCAATTTGTTTTTAGAAAAAAAAACGCCGTCTACACTCACATGTGATGTAATCACCATGTGACTGATAGATAGCCCTCAGTTTTACTGGTTAAGATTAGTGAGTTTGTTGAAGTATCTCGCATAGTTTGTATGTTTTTCCATAGAAGGCAATATGATGTTAAAGAAAAAAGAACAACGAAAAGTTTGACAAACAGATATCTTTTTCATTAAAAATGCCCATTAAAATTTCTTCAAAAGAATGGATACTGAACAAAGAGTATTCTTTTCGATAACCCCTTCATCATCAGGCTCTACAGTTATATATACATTATAGTGAATGAATGAATGAATTAGTGTTATGAACAACATTAATGTTGTTTAAATAGCATCGAATCAATAATACTGATAGATTACAGCTCAAAGGCATCAACATAGAATAAGCTGAATGTCAGAAATATTAGGAAAGATAATATTACAAACTCATGAATTTACAGTCTCTACTGAAAGCCAGCCAGGGCAGTAGTAGTGGCTGGCTGGACTTGCTTCTTCTGCACACAGAGCACTGGTTGTTTGAGGCGAATTGCAATAGCCTCTGATGTTTGGAGCATGCAGTGCTTCAATGATGATTTTGGCAATTTATTAGGCACCCGGTAGATGATGATAGAGAAGGATTCTTCCACGCTGGCTGGCCTTGTAGCCGGCCGGTTCGCACCAGATGTCCCATTATCGAGCTGTTAATGGTTTTCACTACACCTTTACTTAGCCATAGTGGGAGATGTTCTCGATTGAGCACAAAAAATCAAGTTCCTAGAGCAACGGCCAATATAACTCGCCCCACAAGTGCAGTTGAATTAATGTATATGTATGTATCGATCACCCTTGAGTTGCAGTCATATATAAATCGTATATATCTTTCTGGCGATTTCGTTCTCTTTTCAGCCATACTGCGTATTGTTCTCTAACACGTTTTGAAAAAACCTGCGCAGAATGATATATGCACACCGCAGTGGTCATATTCGGGAGTCTGCCCTTCAGTTTGCTTCAAAGCAATGAACGGTTAGAGAATATCACTCTTAAAATTATCTCAGGAAAGGTCTTGTTTAAGGAATTACATGTTAGTCTTTTTGGTATTGATTATTTAGCAGGTGTTAATTCTTGTGACGTATTTACAAAATACAATTTTCAAGGAAACATTAGAACCATACAACAGTGCTCATCCACGACTTATAAATTTTTCGAGTTTGACCATGGATTGATTGATTGATTGATTGATTGATTGATTGATTGATTGATACCAGCTGTTCCCCTCATCCTAGTTTGAGGCTTATTGACAGTACTCACCCACTATCTGGGTTCGAACCTAGGACTTTCTGGTTACAAGGCAAGCTAGCTTGTATATCATTCAGCCACTTCGACCACCCAATGTCATCCGCGGGAAATTCATCCACACATCCCGACTGGTCCTATCCCAAGATTCAGTTAAATATTCAATATACATATATGTGTAAGTTATATTGAAAATTGAACACGTAGTTTGTTTGTTCATCTGAATAACACTAATAGAGAGCTGACTGTTGTACTAGTCAATAAATAAATAAGAAATACATTTTCAAAGATGACTAGAATGTAAATTTCTCATTATTTGTATATTCTATTGATTTCTGTCGAACATAAGATTGTTGATAAGGATTGATAATTCAAGCATAGAACTCTAGAAAAACTAAAATGAACACTATTCATATTAAGTTCGATAAAAGTATACAAAATAGGTATATTACTAACATACAGATAAAGAAATTAATTCTTATGTAAAAATACAAATTTAAAATGGTAATTGGATGTCTTATCTACTTGTAATTTTTTTTTTAAGATAAGTATTACTGAATTACTCATTTTTGTGTGTTTATACTCTGTGAAAATAAGTGTTTCATTATAATAACAGATGATTTCTTTTATCTATGTCATAAATACTACTAATTATCATACTACTATTATGACGACTACTACTACTACTATCGTGGTGTGATGTATACTGATAGTTAGCGGCCAAATAAAACACTGTAATCGCTAGTTTAAGTCAATGCCTGCCTGAATTTAGTTTACGTTGTGGTCAGGAAATAACCTTATTGGACAACTTGTCCAGCCTGCAAGCCAACTGACAACCAATCAGAAGAATTTATTCCCCTCTGACCTAGTCGGACTTTAACGTGGCTAAGAATGTATAAATATGATGCGTTTTTTCTTTAATATAAAAGCCCGCTACCACGTATTTTTTTATCTCCTCTGGTTACATAACTAATATTACGTTAGAATTAATGATATGTTTTATTTTAAAGTGGAGACATAACAGCTAACCAAAATAGTCGTTGGTGTTTTTGAGGAGATACATTTTTTTCCTCAGAAAATGGATGATAAATTGTAGAACTGACTGCCATGGCAACTGTTGGTCTAGATTCCTCAGTAGATTAGATTTTTTTTCAAGAATACGTCGAGCAGTACTAGAAACAGATTACTTGGTAAAGATATAATCACACATAATGCTGAAGAAAGTGACCACTAATTAAAATTGAAGGGAACTACCTGAAATGTTGTACTTAAGTAAATTTTATTAAAGTTTTGTTAGACGAAGACACAGTGGTTAGGATTCTCGCCGACCATACAAATGGTCCGGAGTTCGATATCCTGCCGACGCACACCTGATATCCATTGGTCGGTCTGAAAAATTTTGGCTATCGATATCACATGCTGAAAACTTCATAATTCCACCAAAAAGTACTCTGTGAAATCAAACTATAATCCAAAAAATTGGCAATATGAAATCTTTTGACACTATTTTTCAGTAAAATGACTAGGGATTCGAAAGGAAACCTCATCTTACCTAGGTTTCGTGCTTGCTGATATCCACCACTCAGCAAGGCATACCTGAAATCTTGAAGGAACCCATGTCCCCTCCCGCGGCTGAGATTCGGACCCGTGTCACTCAGTGTGTTGAAGTAAGAGACGTCATCACTAGTTACTGACTAGTGACCAATGAAAAATATCCAATGCAGCATTACAGGAGGTCATTTTTGAGCCCCAACAGCTCAGTGGTAACGTCCGTTACTGACTGCAGCACACACTAGGGACATGAGTTCCTTTAAAAATTTCAGATACGCCTTAGATGACTGATGAGTGCCAGTGAGAACGAAACTTAGGTCCTGCTAGGGGGTTCCTACCAATTTCCTCCAATCATCTATTAACAAACCATGACGGCAAGCAGGTCACTTATCATAATGGCCAACAT